TCTGTAACTTTGTCTTTCAAATACATAAATAAATCTTAATAAAAGAATTTATACCAACTTGACTTTAGTAACATAAAAAAATTCTATTCCTTTACATTTCATTTCTACCACTTCCAGTTACTACTGTGACAAAATTATATCTTCACACACTGTGTTCCAAAAAGGGGGAATGGAAGGGGGAGAAGGCCCTTTGAATCCCCTGGAACTCACTTCTGCTGTAGGGGAAGGAGAACAATGGTCAACTGTGTGATCAGAAGCAGAAAAATCTCTGGTGACTGGCGAACAAGATTCCTTCTTCCCACCTGGTCTGTGCAGGTTGTTCCTGGAGCACTTGCACAGCTGCCCAAAAGGGGGCTGCGGGTGGAGGATTAGTAGCTGCTACTGTGCTAAGTGCTGAAATGGATCAAAATTAACTGCAATTTATGGTTCAAACCTTCCCCTGAAAGGTGCCAGCATTTAATAGATTCCAGAGCTCCAAAACATTTCCATCATTTTCTGCCAGTGTACTTGTTGTTTAGGTGTGGACACAGATTACTGCTGCTTTCTACTCTTTCACCTTCCTGAATCCTACTCTGAACTTTTTTTTTTTATTTATTTTTTTATTTTTTGACAGGCAGAGTGGACAGTGAGAGAGAGAGAGACAGACAGACAGAAAGGTCTTCCTTTGCCGTTGGTTCACCCTCCAATGGCCGCCGCTGCCAGCGTGCTGTGGCCGGCACACCGCGCTGATGCGATGGCAGGAGCCAGGTGCTTATCCTGGTCTCCCATGGGGTGCAGGGCCCAAGCACTTGGGCCATCCTCCACTGCACTCCCGGGCCATAGCAGAGAGCTGGCCTGGAAGAGGGGCAACCGGGACAGAATCCGGCGCCCCAACCAGGACTAGAACCCAGTGTGTTGGCGCCACAAGGCGGAGGATTAGCCTAGTGAGCCGCAGCAACAGCCCTTACTCTGAACTTTTGACAGAGGAGCAAACCAAGGCACAGCGACGTCCTAAATCACACAGCTAAAAAGTGGTAGAAGTGGAATTTGAACTCATGGTACCCGGTTAGAGAGAAATAAGAGAACTTTGTACATAGCATGAAGTCTCAATTCATACAACTAAAAAGAATAAACAAGCACATTAACACAGGTATTTATTTAGCTTGTAACTGAGGAAAGTTTAAAGGCTACAAGTTGAGAAGTGGCATTCAAAGTTGGATGACGACGATGGGACCTTTCCCTCTGCGGTGTGGGACAGAGCTGAAATCTTCACAGGGCCGGCGCCGTGGCTCACTAGGCTAATCCTCCGCCTTGCGGCGCCGGCACCCCGGGTTCTAGTCCCGGTTGGGGCGCTGGATTCTGTCCCGGTTGCCCCTCTTCCAGGCCAGCTCTCTGCGGTGGTCAGGGAGTGCAGTGGAGGATGGCCCAAGTGCTTGGGCCCTGCACCCCATGGGAGACCAGGATAAGTACCTGGCTCCTGCCATCACATCAGCGCGATGTGCCGGCCACAGCACGCTGGCCGCTGCGGCCATTGGAGGGTGAACCAATGGCAAAGGAAGACCTTTCTCTCTGTCTCTCTCTCTCTCTCACTGTCCACTCTGCCTGTCAAAAAAAAAAAATCTTCACAGAGGCCTCATGAGAGGAGGAAGAGAAGGTCTACAGCAATGGCCTGCACCTCGTAAACCAGTGCCCTCAGGAAACAATTAGCTGGGACAGTGGATGTCAGCAAGAGTTCTGGAAATCTGTCTAGGAGCAGTCTTCCTATTGAGTGCTCTTTGTCAGATACGAAGGTGCTTTTTCCTTGCATAGGAGAATAATACTTTAAAAATCAGTAAATCGTTGAACATATTTTGAAAGATTAAAATAAAATAAAAAGGACAGTTATGGAAAAGTATACAATTGTGTTGTATGATTTATATATAATTCTGAATCTACTCCTCTGATCTTACATTAAAAATGTACAAAATGACTTTATTATAAAATTTTACAAACATTTTGAAAGCCATTCCTGTTGCCGTTTGGTGGGTAATTTCTTTTTTAGATTTCTTTCTTTCTTTATTTTGAAAACATCATAGAGAGAAATGTTCTATCAGAGAGACCTTCTATCTGCTAGTTCATTTCCCATTAGCCAGGGCTGGGCCAGGCCAAAACCAGGATCCAGGAGCTTCAGGTTTTCCACAAGGGTCGCAAGGCACAAACAATGGGCCATCTTCTGCTGCTTTTTCCAGCCCAGTAGCAGGAAGCTGGATTGGAAGTGAAGCAGGTGGGATTTGAATCAGTACCGCATGGGATGCCAAGCATCAAAGACGGAGGCTTAACCCACCACACCACAACACTGGCCCTGAAGGGTAATTCTTTATGCTCCATCTTGGTAACTAAAAGCATTGCTAGTCAGAACTGTGTACTATGAATGCTGTTTGATCAGATGTTCAGAGACGAGATCAATTTTGAAATCAGATTAATTCTCTTAAACATACATGGTAAAAGAAAATAATTAAGAGATTCCCCAGGGGCTAGTGCTGTGGTATGTTGTGTTAAGCCTCCCTTCTGCAGCACTGGCATCCCATATGGGCACTGCTTGAAGTCCAGGCTGCTCCACCTACAATGCTTGGGCCCCTATACCCATGTGAGAGACCAGGATGAAGCTCCTGGCTCCTGGCTTTGATCTGGCCTAGCCTCCGCTGTTATAGCCATTTGGGGAGTGAACCAGCAGATGGAATATCTCTCTCCTTCGCTCTATCTTTCCCTCTCTCTTGTAATTCTGATTTCAAATAAGTAGATAAATAAATCCTAAAAAAGATTCCCCAAATCATTAAGTTTGCTTATGGCTTTTTTTTTTTTTTTTTTTTTTTTTTTTAGTATTCTACAACCAATTGAATGTTTAAGGTGTACTATGTTAACACATTGTGAAAAAGAATTAAAATATACAGTCTTTTCCAATTTATCAATTGTGAGCTAAAGAAAAAAAAAGAAAAGCACAGGTCATGTTTATAAAAATTTTGAAGAAAATATTGGTGAAGAATAACACCCATAAATCTGAGCTCTGCATATTTCTAGGTAGGCTTTAAAACACACACACACCCTGACAATGTACCACTGTAGCACAAAATAGGGGGATTGACACACTTTCTCCTCAAGGAAAAACCGTGTGGAAGCATCTTTATGAGAACATTTATCTGTAGCACTACCTACACTGCTCAGAACAAATGCCTCACTTGTGCAGGGGTCTCCTCTCTACTTTGCCAAATCCAAAGGCATTTAAGATAGACAACATCTGTATTTTTACCTATTAAAATACATTCAAGTTACTAAAATCTAATCAATTGTTCACTGCTCAACGAGTTTTAGAAGTCAAGAAAATAATCATTTTTGGATTTCGTAATTGGATTTCATAACTTCTCATTGCTAGTAAGTTTCTAAAGGGTCCAATTTCAACCAACAGGTTGGACCCTTTAGAAACTTACTAGTAGTGAGAAAATTCATATTTCAGAGATTTGGAGGATGTAAGCCTAACATTTTGGATCTTGAATTAATTATGAAATAAACTTTTATATGGAATTCCAATTGATTGATTTGTCGCTAATATGTGTCACTAGTCACCCAGTAGATTCAGTTTTTCATGTTCCCAGTTCCAAAAACCAGATTCATACTTTTGATCTAAAAATCCTATTGGAAGTTATATACGTGGATCTAAAAGTGAGCTGTGCCCCAGACCTTCAGCTCAGGTCATTTGTAACCATCAAGGGGCAGACAAGGCTAAAAGCTCACTTGATACCCAAATGGAAATCTTGTAAATGGAACAAATTGCCAACATGCTTTTTTGGTCTGTCTGTTCTCTACCCTGGGTTTTGAAACAGTAGCCTCAATGTTAGCAATATACTGCCAAGTACAATGTGTATGGAAACAAATTGAAATAGATTTGTTCCAGACTCAAAAATGGTTTCTTCTTAATATTGGACTGTGATACAATTAAGAAGCTCAAGCGAAAACGCCATGTGAAATTAAAGGGAGCACAAGCATCCGCCATCCTCCCAGGTTATATGAATTGAAATCTTCCAGCTTCCACCTTCATAGTAATAAAATTTTTTAATGTTAAATGGTTATTGCTGTACATAACCAATCTCTGTTTATTAGGGCTCATAAAAAATCTCTTACTCCATCTCTCCCTTCCTCTGTATTCCACTAGGCTTTATAGCAGTGAGTTGTTCCAGTTTATAGTTCATCCAGACAGTTCTGGGATTGACAAATCTAATTATTTTGGACTAAGGGAATAGGTCAAAATGGATGTAAATGAAGCAAACTTTCAATCACATGTGATTTGAGTATATGGTGCTAATAGTCTGGTTGTAACAGAAAGTATAAGAGCTTAAAAGGCCCAGAATAATTCAGTCTAAAATATCTTGGATCTTTTTCCATCATAAAGTGAATTGAGCAATTCTGTTCACTAGAAGATTGACAGCATAATGGAAACAGAGCAAACTGCAGAATTTCTCACCAGGTAAGTGCATTAGTAGCAAAACTCATAATGCAGTCTGTTGGTTGAAAAGAGCATGAAAGAGCCTTCTGTTTTCTTATGAGGTGCCATATTCTCATAGTTCTTGGCCAATTATACTTAACTACTGCCAAATTGCAGCTATTGGAAAATGTTCAACCCTGTTGCCTTGAGCAATATTATAAAAGACCTCATAGATACTGATTCTTTCTTATAATTTGCTTATCAGCAAAGATAAATGTAATTAAAACTGCTTACAAATATTTCCTCCCATTTATCATGCACCTACAACACAATATATTTATGTATAATAGCAATTCTGAATGAATATTTATGTTTTTGAGTATTAACTAAGAGTTAAATTGGAGGGCAAATGTTTTGATGATCTTTGAAACTTTTATAATTTACAACAGCACTCTTTTTCCTAAGTAGAGCTTTTTGTGGGATAAAGAGGCATAGCATAAATGTTATAGACAGTTCTTATACTATATAAACTTTACATACACTCTTGTTCATCCATTTCACTTACCAAAATCAAGAGACAACTTGAGGCCAACTTTGTGTGCTCAGGGATGGTAGAAAACACTGACAAAATCAAGCAACCAAAGACAAGGAGAAAACTGTAAAACAACAACAAGAAAAGAAAAATGTGATAAGAATCTTGATTTATGACTGCTGACTTAATTTCTTATTTCTAATGAACAAAGCACCAAACTCATTGGAATGGGCAAGAGTTAAATCACTACAACTATTTTCAATAGCAAAATACAATACGAGACACAGTGCAGATGGGGCTCATTTTTGAATTTATTGATGAGAATGTCACTTGTGGGTTCATGTATGTGTTTGTTATTGAATGTTCACATCTAAGAATCCCTAAATTCCCATACAATCTTTTCCCCAAGCAGAGGTCATGAGAAAAGGCCAGAAAGTGTGTTCTTGCTCTCCCTATAGGGCAGAACATGCTGAAGTCATTCTCTTTTCAAAGAGACAGAATCTGCCTCATACTGGGCAGCACTGGTAAATCACCAACCGTGGCTCATGTGTCAGAGTCTCATATTTCTTGTGGGCACTCATTTGTTATTCCTTCATATTAATAATTAGATTAGAAAAGGGAGGGATGATTTTCCCGCCTGCCCATGCACTTTTCATTTCTTTTCAATCAAATTGCTATTCAGGCTACAGTGATAGCGAGCACAAGTCAGAAGCAAGCATTTTCTACAAAACAATCTGCAGACATTTTTATTCCTAGAAACAGGGAACTCCAGGGTCAAGTGGGGAGGGGAGTTCCCAAGGAAAATGTCAAATAAAAGGGAAGGTTCTATTTCAAATATAAATTACTTAAGATGCAAGATCAAAAAAAAAAAAAACTAAGAAAATTCTGAGTTACTTATTCTAGGTCATATTTTTTCCTTTTACTCATCTCTGGGAAATCCATACAATAAGCTTCTTCAAAATATCATTTCCATGTTTCCCCATATGGCAATAGAGTTAGTCCCTGCCTCCTCTTCGCTTGCATTGAATAGTCTTACAAGTCTTTCTACCACATTTCACCAGGAGTTCAGAAGAGCCTACAGCCAGGGATTAGCTAATCGTTACTTAGGTAAAATATCTGGTTCCTCATTCCTGTTTTTGTAATCAAGTTTTATTGACACATAGGCACACACATTACTTTATGCATTGTGTATAGCTGTTTTCATTCTGTAATTGCAGAAGTGAATAGTTGCCACAAGAGAGTACGGCCTACAACACTACAATATTTGCTATCTGGCTTTGCAGAGAAAAATGTTGTCCTACTCTCACATTGTCTTTTCACTTTAATGTCTTTTTACATAGCCCAACTCAGTACTGGAGTGAAAGCTCATATTTGCTCATATTTCTACATGTTAGTAATTACTAACAGTCCTAGAAGGCTTCCTCAAAGCTTGATACTGTGCTACGCCCCTTTCACACACATTTCCCACAATATGCTCACAAATTTATGGAGTCGAAATATCACTATCCCATTTTAAAGATATGAAAACCGAGAATTACTGAACATTTTCTAACTCATGCAAGGCCATGTAGCAGGAAGAGAATTCAAGCCCTGAAGCCAGGCTACCCATGGTGTTACTCAATGATCACGCACAAATGAGAATGGCACTAACATTCCTGGGCCAGCATGAATTTTGAGGATATTTCTGTATCTCCTCAAAGTGAGACAGAACTAGTTGCTATTCTAAATAGAAGTGTCAAAGGGGAAAGTATCTACTCATGAAAAAAACCCTAGTGCACAAGGCTAATAACGATTCATCATGCTTCTGACTTACGCATCTAATGCTTTAGGGTGCTTTGGATTACACTTTGAATTGGAGCCAAGAGACTCTAGGTTGTAAAGAAGTAGTCACAATCCAGAAAATCAACCTGACTCCAGAACCATCAATGAGAAAATAAAATTCAGAGGCGGGAAGACCTTTCTCTCTGTCTCTCTCTCTCTGTCTAACTCTGCCTTTCAAAAAAAAAAAAAAAAAGTATTTGGGAGGTCAATACGGTATCAACTAAGGATAGTGAAAAATGCTTCCCTTCTGGTGAGTGCCTGCTACCTGGCTATCTCCCTCCTCCTCCCCAACTTGAGGCTAGATCCTCTAGAAAATAGTAGAGACAGTGAGCAGGAGACTATTTAATTACTATAACTTATTCCTCCAAGAGAATTCCATTGATTTCTGTGTTCAAAGTAGATCGTATTGCTAGTGCCTTCTTCATTCATATTCGGATGCTGTTTAATCTTTTTCTTTCATATCACTACTTTTCCCATTTTCTGTGATAACATTATTTTCCTCTTTAAAATGAGTAGCTTCTTTTTTTTTTGAAAATTTCACTTATTTAAATAAGAAATTCTTTTACCAAAACAATTCAATGATAGTGATTAGGCAGGATTTTAATGTCCAAGGTACTGGTAAGCACTCTCTATTGAGCAGGAAAACTTTTTAAAAAATTTTCTTTAAGGTATAAAAGTTTCACGTATTACATGTATACAGAATTAGGTTGTTTCTTATCAACATTCTGTCACTGCTACAGAAGCTCATCTGTAGACTACAAGCCAAAGGCTTCTGTTGTTCTGGCTACCTGAGAGGATATGGATGGCCACATATACATTAATTAATTTGCTCATTTATTCATTCAGCAATTCATTCATCCATCCAACCACTCAGCCATTTATCCAATCAGCAAATATTGATTAAATATACAAGCTAGGCTGAGCCATGGTGATACAGCAATAAACAAGATCACAGTTCAAAGCCTATTGAGACAGACTGAGAACTAACTGGATCTAAACTGAAAATTATGAGTGATGATTGCAATGATAGGGGAAATACAGGAGCTGACAGGAGCATACAAGAGAAGAAGGTCTAGGCAGGACTGGCTGTTGAATTTGTAGAACCCAGTAAAAACAACAATGTGGGGTCTCTTGTTAAAAAGTTATTAAGAATATTAAGATAACAATAGAGCTGAACCCAGTGTGGCATCCTTCTACCTGTGGCTTCATGCAACCCCATAGACTGCATACCCATGAAGCCAGACCTGCAGTTAGGGAAAACTTCCCACAGTAAATACCGAGTAAGCTGAGTCCTGCAGGCCAGCAGCACTTGGGACAATGGTTGGTGACAGGCACTATAGTCCAGGAGAATGCATGAGTGAAGGCTAGATATAAGCGCATCACTGGCCGGCGCCGCGGCTCACTAGGCTAATCCTCCACCTTGTGGTGCCGGCACACTGGATTCTAGTCCCACTCGGGGCGCCAGATTCTGTCCCGGTTGCCCCTCTTCCAGGCCAGCTCTCTGCTGTGGCCAGGGAGTGCAGTGGAGGATGGCCCAAGTGTTTGGGCCCTGCACCCCATGGGAGACCAGGATAAGTACCTGGCTCCTGCCATCGGATCAGCGCAGTGCACCGGCCACGGCGGCCATTGGAGGGTGAACCAACAGCAAAAGGAAGATCTTTCTGTCTGTCTCTCTCTCTCTCTCACTGTCCACTCTGCCTGTCAAAAAAAAAAAAAATAAGCACATCACTAGAATTTACTAATTAATTAATAAATTAGAATTACACCTGCTAGCTAGCTTATTCCACAATATCTGAGAAATATAAGGAAGGTCACTCCTGTGAATGAATTAGTTTATGTGTATGGCAATCATCTCAATTTAACAGAACACATGTATTGCATTCCCATTTTAAAAGACACCATGTCGGAGGAGAGGGCAAGATGGACATTCGGAGGCACATGGGAAAAATAGATTGTTAATAGATTGTTAATAAGCAGAGGGGATACAAGTGGTGACAGAATCATGAGAGGTTCACTGCAAAGTAGCCCAGGAGTCTACCAGAGATTGCTCGGGGCCACACTAAGGAGCAGAGAGGAAGGAGAAGTCGTGGAGGTGCAGTGAGGATGCAGAGGACAGACCTAACGAGGAGAATGGCTCCACCCTGCCGCAGTGAACCAGGTGAGAGGTCATGAGTCCATGGAGCTGTGGATAACTGCAGGTGGGGAAGTTTGGCAAACTGTGTTTGAAGCTCCAAGCAGGAAAAGGAGAAATTGTAGGGAAGCACGCAGAGAGTTTGGGCATGCCATGGCCTATCTGTGTCTCCCTCTCCCCACAAGCGGACCAACAGCAGGCAGGGAGAAGCCATATTGATTGTTTACATTTTTGAGTGTAAACAGGGGCTGCTCTGTTAGCCTCCAGTGCACACACCCATCAGTTGTGGGGGCCACCTCACAATATGCCCCACCCGGGGAACAAAAATCACAACATTCCAGAGTGATTCCTCCCCACCATGCAAGCTGTACAACAAGGAGTAGTCCTAAACAACAAAAACCTGAGCTCATTTCACACACCAGTGAGAAGGGAGTCTGGTCCCAGTAGGCGGGGCTTAGTGCACCAAAGCCCTGGTACCCATCTCCTTCACAATCTAGAAGTAAAGAGGGATCCAGGAGGCGGGGCTGCATGCTTCCACTTGCAATACACAGACACATAGCAGCTCATAGCAGAGGGAAATTGCACCACAGACACAGTCACAATTTAAAGATAAAATCAACCAGAAATGCCAAAGAACAAATGAGAAATCCCGAGTAAGAATAAGGAAGACCCTATGAACTTTCCAAAGGAACAACACAATTCTTCAGTAATGGAGGCTGAAGAAGAAGAGATAGAGGATATGCCAGAAAAGGAATTCAGAAAATTAATAGTCAGATTACTTAGAAGCAATCAGAAACAAATTCATGGTCTAAATGAAAAGTGCTCCCAAGAAATTGAGATTTCTAGAATGAAATACTGGAAATGAGGAATTCAATAGACCAAATAAAAAATACAGTGGAAAGTCTTAGCAACAGAATAAATGAGACAGAAGAAAGAATATCAGAACTATAAGACAAATTTCTGTAAATAATATCATCAGACCAAATATAAGAAGAAATCAGAAAATTAAAAATCACAGTTGGCTATTTAAAAGATTCTATAAAACATCCCAACTTACGGATCCTAGGAATTCCGAAAGGTGTGGAAAGAGAAAAAGGATTAGAAGGCTTTCTTAATGAAATAATAAAAGAGGACTTCCCCAATCTGGAGAAAGAAAGAGACATCCAAGTACA